CTTTGTCATGTAGCTGTACACATAGGACCCCCTGTACTTTACTACTCATCCTTTTGTTACAACTCAAACCACTACTAGTTAATACATTTTTATTTACTGTGGAATAGTTATCACAATGTGCTTTATTGTCCTAATGGTTTTGGTGAAGTACTGCACTTAATTATCTCCTATTTTTTACTGTTTATTCATTACTTTTACCAAAACGTTGCTGTTTTATGTTTTATAATGCAATTTATATAAAAGGATAATTTTACTAACTTAGAGGCTCAGTCTCCCTTTTCTGTTGAGACTCAATAAATTTAGTCAAAAATATATTTATTTTTGACTAAAAATGATCTATCTATAAATGATCATTTTTTATTTAAACGTTTATTCGCTAATAGGGATGTTTATTGGTGAAATTCTGGTGATCCAGTACGTATCACGATACAGGGGAGACGATACGATATATTGCGATCCATTTAGTCAGACGATAGTAGCGATTTTTTTCGACTGAATTTATTGTAGGAAAATTCAATAAACAGTCCAAACTAATACGTAACATGTTTAACATGAGGTATCTGAACCATGATAGAGGGATTTACATTTCAGTGGTGAAAACAAAACCCATTGCACACTGCTGCCAACTAGTGTTTGGCGTTTGATTTGCACCAACGAAAAGAAAATACACAAATGTTTGCATGTAAATTCTTCCCAAAATTAGATGCATGGCTTTTGAATATCAATATAATGTCACAGGAATTAAAATATCACGATATACTGCCATATCGATAATTTACATTCCTGTTTGCTAAATATATATATGTTATTATTTAGTAGTTTTTTTTTTATCAGTTGCATTTTTGTTTTCTTCAGTTTAATGTAGTTGTATTTGTTGGATCGGAAAGTCCCTCTGTGCCTATACTCTTACATTAGTTGCTTCACATATTTCCAGCCATTAAAATCGTGTCACAATGAATAAACTCAGATGTGGTGTGTTGTGTTCTTGTTGATTTTATGAGACAAACAGCTTTATGAAATGATCGGTGCTTTTGCCATCCATCCTTGAACGTCTCCAGACAGACAGATCTGCCTGGAAATGAAGCAAATTATTATTATTATTATTTTTTACATTCATGGCAGATCTTTCAGACAGGTGGAATGAGAGGTGTTAAGGTCTGTGTGGCATTTACATTTTCTTTATTAGTTTGTGTTTGTTGATGTTGGACCCAGGTGCTTTTTGGGGTGAAACAAGGTTTGCGTGACCTTTAATTTAGCAGAAGGCCGCCAGTGAATCATTCTCTGCTGGTATTGGTACTTCATGACAAAAATGCAGTGGTTGTCTCTGAAAAACACTCACGGGTTAATGTTTGATGAACCATAAGTGGTTTTACAGAACCACGTCTGAATGTAGAAGCCGGGTAACGCTGCGTCATTCATCTCTTCTTCTGTGAGGTGTGTCGTTTTTCAGTCTTTTCTGTGGAAAGGTGTCTAGATCTAATCATGGTGCATCACCCGTAACCATGACAATTTTAGATTTTGATATTGGAATAATTAGTTTAATCACACCTCCCTTTTTATTCTGCAGAGAACCATGAGCACTGTGGAGGAGGAACCGGATCACATGATACCATGAAGACACGTCTGCAGGTCCTGCGCTGCCAGCTGCTGAGTGAGTTGATTTGTGGGGAAGTGACTGACGCAGTGGTGGGAGCACTGAGATAGCCAACGTAGTAGTTCATATTTTATATTTTAAAAAATTTACATATTAGTTCAGACTTTTGCCTCTTTCCTAAGTCTGTCAAACATCCAGGCATTTTCTTTAAATAGTCATATTCCCTAATCAAATTTAATGAAGCTAATATCACACATGAGGCTGCAAACATGCCCCGTGTAGGTTTCAGCAATTTCCAATTGTTTAGAATTTGATTGTAGTTGCAAACATTGTTAATAATTGGGCCATTTTTAGACTCGCTCCTTTTTTTCCTGAGTACCATAAAGACTCTAAATATGATCTTATCACATAGTCCTACTGTGTGTGGTGTGTTAAGAGTGCTCTGGTCTTCTCTGAAGCCATTCCTTCCCTTCCAACAATCTTAAGGATGCTGCCGGTTACCGTATTGGCTCTAAGGATAATCTTATTATATATTCCTGCTGTGTGTGGTGGGTTAAGAGTGCTCTGGTCTTCTTGGAATCCACTCCTCCCCTTCTGACAATCTTGAGGATGCTGCCATAATGGCTATAAAGATAATCTTATCAGATATTCCTAATATGTGTGGTGTGTTAAGACAACTTTCAAATGTGTTGGATTGTCTTGGTCCAATTTTTAAGGACAAGAGAGAATGCTACTTGTTGAAATTGACATGTAGCTGGTAATAAAACAATGTGGTTGAACGATGCTGCATGCTCCTCCTCCACCATGTTTGTTTATGCCAAGTCCTGTTTCATCTTGTGAGATATCCTGCCTGACAGGGGAGTGTTTGTGTGAAACAGTTTTTTGTGTAGTGGCCCATGACGGAGAAGGCAGTTTTTGGTTTAGCATCCAGCAAACAGCAGAAAGCGTCTCTACTAGTAGAAGCTAACCATTAGCATTAGCAACTCCACCACATAGCAGAACTCCTTCAGGCTTGTGTTGTTTGTGGAGATAAAACATCAACTTTGCAAAGTCAACCGAATAAATGGTGGAGTCGCATTTCTGTTGGCCAATCAGAGGCAACATCTCCAAAAATCAAGAAATAATAATCAAACAGGAGCACTGGAGCCTTTTGCCCACAGTACGGCAAGGCATTCATTCCTTCTAGAGACTGCTGCAAATGTATTAAAAAATGAGTAAAGATGAACTTTTATGTAAAATTTGTGACTCCGGGGCCATTTGTGGCCCCCCAGTTGCTTTTCTGGAATGGTTGAATTTTATTTTTCAAGCAAGCTATTGATGTAGATTAACACTTAATTAAAATAATTTGTCTAAATATTATTGATATGAGGCCTATTTGTAGCAGTACAAATTTAAAAATCATCATAAAACAATGTTTGCATTTACTAAAATTAATAAATCAATCACAATTTACTTGATGACCTTTGTCCTCATCTTAAATAGCTTGGACGCCACTGCTTAAAATGCTTGTATAACAAGTTTAACACGCTTGAATCACCCTCAATATTGATGCAAAATACTATTCCTGAACATTTTACAGTCTGTGAAAAGATCTCCAGACTCTGCAGTTTGTAGACTAGATATGTAAACCTCTTACCAGTTGTCAGCTTGTGTTTAAAATTCACAAGCTCTGGAAGGAGATGCACGAATCTCTGGCAGACTACCAGAGAAGAATGTCGCATGAATATGGAAGCTGGAGGTCAGACTGAGAGCCACCTCACTCCAGGACAGTTAGCTAAAACGTCTGATGGTAGCTGGTGTTCACCCCTGAACACCACCTGGGGCAGAGGCGCCACAGGCGGTCCCTGACAAATCTGCCTCAATCCCTCTGAGGAAATCAGCCTGGACTGCTGTGAGCTGAGCGCTCTAAGCTTCTGCAGAGGTGAGGCGAAGTCACGTTGAAGGAGTTCGGAAAGTATAAACCGTGGATTAGCCTGGTTTAAAGTTAATATCGCAGCCTGAAAAAGCCCCAAAAGTTCTTTGTCCCTTTCATGTGTTCATTTCAGCTGTTTTTTGGGTTTTCCTCAGGTTCATTACACTTTTATTAAGTTTTCCTTTTTACACAATGTGAAGCTGAAGACCCACCTGAGACCCTGTTCTCCTTTCTCCCCCGTGTGACTGCATGTCTTCAGGCTGCAGTAAGACTAGAGATGGAAGAGCGGAGACCTGATCATTTATCATGTCACGTGGCAGGATGAAACAATCCTGTCATTTCTTTACTTGTGTTTTTATTTTACATTTTTTCTGTACTAATACAATCTTTCAACCTTTTCTTCAAAGTGTGTTTTTATTCAGCTCTTAAATATTAAAGAAACCTTTGTAAAGTGTGTCAGTGAGAAGAAAATACATCAAACTTTTTAGTCAACAGAACGTTGACATTCTTTGTAAGTAGAGAACTAGCGTAGCTCGGTGCCTGAGTATTTCCCCCAGATTCCAGACAACTTCCTGTTTAATGTCTCCCCTTCCTGTCAGATCTGTAGCTGCTTTGACAGCAGCTAAATCGCGACCAAAGTAAACACTGTACGGACACTTTGTTGTTCTCGTTTTGGTATTCTGATTCCCAGATAAACACGTTCAAAGCCACTGTAACCTGACAAACAGTTTCTGAAGCATTTAAACAGGAAGCCATTATCCTGCTTTGCCCTCTTATCTCTGGGCTTACATCTGTAGATGTTTCCCCGCCTCTCTCGGCTTCTTCTCCGCCTTTCAGTCACCACACCCGTCCAGGCCTCCTCCAGAAGTCCCAGACGTCCACAGGATGTGCCGTATCTGTCTGTGTCCACCCACGGGGGCAGATGATTTACCAGAATGGTTCACACCCAGGAGCAAACCAAAGGAATCTTACCGTTTGTGTCCTAGCTTACATGATAATGTTTGGGAGCTTGACTGAAACAGATACAGTGGGTACAGAGAGTATTCAGACCCCTGTAAAATGTTCACTCTTTGTTTTATTGCAGTAAATTATTTTTCCCTCATTATTACACACAGCTCCCCATATTTACAGAAAAACACAGAATTGTTTAAATGTCTGCAGATTCATTACAAAAGACAACGTGAAATATCACATGGTCCTAAGTATTCAGACCCTTTGCTGTGACACTCATATCTAACTCAGGTGCTTTCCATTTCTTCTGATCATCATTGGAGAATGCGATGAAGTACAAAGATGAATGCGGACAAGTACATGGATATTCTGGACAAGAACCTTCTTCAGAGTGCTCCGGACTTCAGACTGGGCCAAAGGCTTACCTTCCAACATGACAATGACCCTAAGAGCACAGCTAAAATAATGGAGTGGCTTCAGGGTAACGCCGTGAATGCTAATAGACAGTGTGACATAGATCTGTCAGGCTTTTCTGAACAGATGTTTTTCTATCTATTTTCCATCAGAAGCTAATGCAGGAAATGGGGGTAGAAGACTATTTTCACATTCAGCCTGCATGAAAAACTTCATTTTCTAATGTAATAAGTAAAAACTTGTTGGTCTTTAATAAACCTGATCTTTAAATGTTAAACATTAGGTATACTGAGAAACCGTTTTTACATAAAACATGAAGCGTCTTGGTGGCTTAGAATTAACAATTAGCAATAACAACTCCACGCTTGTGTTATTTGTGGAGATAAAATGACACCGTTGCATTTTTTAGCCAAGAAAGAAGTGCAAACAGAGGCAGTGGAATTGTTGTGTTGCTGTTAGCCAATCAGAGGCGAGATGTCCGCATATCATGAATATTAATAAATAAAAATGCAGATTCTGCTGTTTTCCTTCTTTTACTCCTCTGACTTACTTCTGCTTTCTGAAACAGGAGCCCCAGAGCTTTTTTTCCACTGAAAATGACTCACAAGGCATTCATTCATATTAGAGACCACAGCAAATGTATTGAAAAAAAAGAGTGAATGTCCTCTTTAATGCTTAATACCACTCTAAATACAGAAATGCTTTAGCGTTTTGTTAGAGAAATGGTTGCTTTTTTATGCTTGATCATTAAATCGTGAGACAGAAGAGCCTGCTAATTCATTTAATCAGGTCTTGAGTTGAATTCCTCCCACTCTAATCAGTTTGATCTACTGCTGCTGAAGGATGAACAGGTAGCAAAAGAGCATTAAGATTATTTCCTGTTTTTGTTATCTTCATAGAAAAGTCAGGGACCATACCAGACAGCATTGTGCTAATTGGAATGAGTTTACTGAATGGAACTTTGTCTGCCCATCTTTAAATCAAAATGTGATGTAAACAAGTTGACCCTAAATGCCCAGAGCCCTTTATAACTCCTTGATGATTGTTTATTATTTATCCATTCACACAAATTCATTGGGAGCCTATTATTGCGTGCAACATGCAACACTTGTGCTACGTTGTCGCCACACCCGCCCTTTCACATTGTAGAGGGGTCAGTGATTGAGCAGCTGACCTTCTGTTTGGTGGATAATCACTCCATGTGCATCAGTTAGGCTCAAATGTGACAGAAAATATTTGTTTTTGTTGGATAAATAGTTTCGAAACATTCAAAGAGTAAGTTACCCCCCATACCAGAGCCTTACTTCGCCCACATTTCCTGGGAATGAGGAAAGCGAGCGACCCTGAGCCATATCGTTTTGTATTGGCACATTAGTTGCCCAAAGCCACCAGTGCCGAGCTGTAAACGCTTCCAACTTCAAGGCCCTTTGGTGGAGTGGCTGAGAATCTGTTGCTTTCATATCCCACAGAGGCAGTGCAGTCAACATCAACAATCACAGTTAGGCAAATAGCAATGGCCGACAAAAATTCAAATGTAGTACTGTTAACCTGAAGAGGGGCCCACACTGAATGTTTTAGGCACAAGATTTATCTTTTAATTATGATGCATTAAAATGCCAAAATAATGACTACACATGTCTACAAACACCAATTTATACTGTTTATTGGCAAATAAGTAAATCTGGGGGGTGACTTGCTTTTTAAGTCAAGTCAAGTCAACTTTATTTTATTTAGCACTTTACAGAGCATAAAAGCTGACCAAAGTGCTTAACAAGCCAAA